GGAACGAAAAGGAATAAAATGATTCCCTGTCTTCAGAAATGTTGCATTGTGACAATCAAAATGTTAGATTGCTGCAATGTGATCCAAAGGAGCATACAGTTCTGCATTAAAATATGGCTTTGTTTATGTACTCGAGTGACTTTCTATACTATATTACTTGTGGGATTTTACACTTCTGAGCAGAACTGAATGCGTTTGGTATCCCAGCTCTGTATTGTCAGTGAGCGCGGCAGTTGCTACTCGAATATCATTGCTTCTATATTCTGTGTTTCTCATAGGTCTTTACATGGTATTACAGATGGTTTTTTACTTTACAGATTTTGTGTAACCGTATACTAACTTATACCTAAGATAATAACTACAATTTAAAGTCCTCGTGTGAGTGGAGTGTAAATTAAGGTACCACAGGTGACTGAGTGCTGGAGAATTGTTTATGGTTTATTTAGTAAAGGTCTGACTTATAGTATTGTATACACACATGCATTGGAACTGTTTTTCTTTTAAGGTTGCACATAGGTAAAGGGGTGCAGTTGGAGTGCAAAGGAGAAGGTGACGTGTGGGTTAGATGCCTCAGTGACCATGCAGTCTTCGTTCAGAGTTACTACCTGGATAGAGAAGCGGGGCGTGCACCAGGCGATGCTGTTCACAAGATTTACCCAAGTGCATATATAAAGGTTGGTTTGATGTTCCTAGATGAAAATGGTGGGGGAAATAGCGTACGTTTGGTTCGTGTAAACATGAGGGAAGCTATGAGACACTGAAATGAAACTTCGCTTTTGATTATCCGTTAAAAAAAACCTTAAACTTTCCACTTGACACGTCACTTTTTAAAACTTGACTTTTTAAAATTATTAACCTGTAAGTAACATGTAGGTATTACAAACATAACTAATTTTGTGTTTTGTCACAGTCTTGATAGCAGTTTTTTGTATTTTTAGCCTCACAATTTAAAAAATTAACTGCTACTAAAATTCTTATGTTTCTTTATTCTCTCTCCAAGACAAGAAAAGTTGGGAAAGTATGTATAAATGTAGCAGAAGTGTACAGTGTGTGTTAACGTGTTATAAACACGAAGTGATCCAGAGGTCACAGAAAGTTGCATGGAAACAAATCGTGCTCAGGAGATTCTTACTTGGACATGCCTCGGCCAGACATGAAACTTTATTTAGGACAAGTCCCACTTGTAAAATATCATTCTTGAATTAGAGAGAAACTGCTTGAAGTTTGCGATGATTTTGTTGGTGGTTTTTTTTTAATCCTCAGTTTTGCAGACAGGTTGTGTAACAAAGGTGAAAGAAACCCCACTGGCCTCTGTGTATGAGCTTTTTAGTACGAGAACAGAGTTCTTGTATATATTAGTGCCGAGCCTAATCACAAAGATATAACATGCCACCAACCTGTAACCTAGCTGCTGAAACCTCAGGCTTATCAATTATTGGCATTTCTTTTAAATAGACTTAAACATTTCAGTAGAGCAGTGAAGAAGAGTAAAGTCTGACAAAGTTAAGCAGGACGTGTTGGCTTCCATTTTTATTTATATGCCTATTTTCTGGAAATCCTGGGATTTAACTAAGAAGTTGAGATTTCATTAGCCTGTGGCATCCTTTAGATTTTGATCCTGCAGTCTGTTCCGCACAGGGTACTGCTTTAGCCTGATCAGCTCAGGCAGGTTATGATATTGCCAGCAGTAGTAACATCGTTGGAGAAGAGTCTCTAAGAATCGGCTTTAATGGATTATTTTTGTTAGAAATTAAACTACTCAGGGAAGGTTGGCTTTTGCCGAAGTGTATGGTGAGACTGTAGGAGTTGCTTTGGGGGAGCAGAGGGGTCCAGATTATTGGGGATGGGAGTTGAGGAATTCCTTCATTGATTGCCGTAAGTCTACATAGTTTGATAGTTATTTCTTCTTTTTTTTTTTTTTTTTAAAGGTGTTTGATTTACGCCAATGTCATCGTCAAATGCAACAGCAGGCTGCCACTGCGCAAGCTGCTGCTGCTGCTCAAGCTGCAGCAGTAGCTGGAAATATCCCTGGACCGGGATCAGTAGGTGGAATAGCCCCAGCCATTAGTAAGTACATTAACTGCTTGATTTCCTTTTTTCCTCACCTGAAAACAGCATCCCCCCACCCATCCACCCACTGCCCCTGCAACAGTGCAAATGAACTTGGAAGGAGGTGGCAGGATTGGGGCGAGGTGGGGCTGGGCTGGCGTGGTGGTCGGTCTGTATCCCTTCACTTCGTACCTTGCTCCACACAGCAGTTTTCACTCTGTAGTCTTCAGGGGATGTTGGATGTGCAGTACAACAGAAAACATACCTCTACAAGGTCAAAGAGCATAACCCTATAACGTTAAACAGAGATAACTTTGGCTGCTTAGACCCAAGCTTGAAAAATGATCTTTGAGATCTAAGTTCATAAAAACGTTACTCAAAACAATGGGGATTACTGAGCGACAAAGTCCTTGACTGGGTTTAGGGAAACTTAAGATTCTTGAGAAGAGGAAGAAGAGAGCGTGAGGGTGTTTTTTCTTTTTCTTCTCTTTTTTTTTAAAGTTATTCTGGGCTGGAGTTTCCTTAGTTAATAAATCCTAGCTGCTTGAAATTATACCTACGTACTTTTAAAGCTTAAGTACTTACTATGGCACATAAAGCAGTTTGAGATACGTGTCTTCTGGATTCCTTGTGTTGCCAAATGGCTCTTTCCAGCTATTCTATAAATTGCTGAAGGCATTTGGGGGAATGTCTTTTACTTCGGTCTTAGCCATACTTGTGATTTGAAGTTTGCCAGCTGTATTCATCTTTTTATTTTATTAGATGTAAGTAGTGTAATTTGTTAACCCAGCTTCCTGCGGGTGGTCAGTCATGAGTTCTTATGCTGAAAACGCAGCATTTGGCAAACCTCAAGGATAAGTATTTTTTACCATATTTCCTAAATAAGGTTTATATGCATTGTATCACATAAGGCATTAGGTTTTTTAGCAGATACAGCTTTATTATAAGGAGTTCTGTATTTCAATACCCTTTCAAGATTGCAGAACGATGGAAAAAAAAAAATGTAATTGGAAGAAATGCCAAATAATTGCTGCCTTCATTCTAGCAGAGATCTAGGAATAGGGATTGGCCTTGGCTGTGGTGAGAAGGAATCATACACCGAGAGTGAGCCACACAAACAGGAATGGCTCAACAAACAGATGATAAAAGAGCATGTACGTGAACACTCACGTGAAACCTCTCCTGTTTAGGTTTGTCAGCTGCTGCTGGAATTGGTGTAGATGACCTTCGCCGCTTATGCATACTCAGGATGAGTTTTGTAAAAGGTTGGGGACCTGATTACCCGAGACAGAGCATCAAAGAGACACCGTGCTGGATTGAAATTCACTTACACCGTGCCCTCCAGCTTCTAGATGAAGTACTTCATACCATGCCTATTGCAGACCCACAACCTTTAGACTGAGATCCCTCTGCTGCGGGCCATTATATTGTGAGGATGGTGGATTGTAAAATACAATTCTGTTTATAACCTGAAGATATATTTTACTTTTGTTCTGCTTAATCTTCTAAAACCAGGTTTTAAAAATGTGTTTGCCGCCTTGCTCTTAGCAGAAAGAAACTGAACATGCAGAATTTGGATTTCAGTTATTTTCAGAACTTCAATTGTCATAATACATGGCTCAGGGCTTAAAAGTGAAAGGTAAACGCCTTATAGAGACTTCACAGTGTGGGGTTTGTTCCCTTCGAAACTTTCCTTCTCTATTATGGCATCTTGGTGATAAGCCTCAAAGGAGCCTTTTGTATGCAGAATATATATTATATATATATTTCTATCTGAAAATTCCTTCTAATAGTTATAAACATTTACCTTATAGCAACTTTAAAATTCCAGCTGATTTGTGAAGTTCTTTTTAGGGAACAATAGTTAACAGAAGACTTCTTTATTTTATTGACTACCTTGTTATGATTTTTCCAGACTAAAATGTAGAAGCTGCCAAAAAGTGAGGGATGAGACGTACATTGTTGGCATCGATTGAAAAATAGCGAGGAAAAGAAATGTGGCTTTTCCTTCACTAGTTTTTAAAAAAGATCTTAGATTTTTATTTATATAGACATGTGAGTTTTAAAACACTAAAGGAAACAGACACTTTCAGTGCTGGCACTCAATTTGAAGACAACATGAAATACCCTGTCTGCAAAGTTGCCACTGAAATTGCATAATGAGTACCTGATGGCAGGAACATATTTTCATAACTACTGCTGACTTCTATGATTTTACTCAAGTAAAACTTGGCAGGTATTTTAAAAAGTCGCATGACTCTTTTTACTTGCATATACCATTCAGTCATGTATAGTATTACATCAATATTTAGGATCCAGTTTTTGTATCTGTTCACCATTTCCACTCAGGGCAAGATGGCAAACTTGTTTTTATACCTCTTGGTTATTTTAAGCCCTATGCCATCAATGACCGTATCAATTGGCAATGACTTTGTATAGAGAATTTATAGTAGAAAAAAATGCAAATGTATTGACTGTATGACAGATACAATATGTATGCTTTCTCTCTAGTTAATAGTATAAATAAAATTATGAAAACCCTGATTTTTATAAATTTAGTTTGCTTCTATTATGTAATTCTGCACCTTGAAACCATTGATCTTGAGTGATGGATTACTTTTCCTTTGCAAGACCAGCAGCAGCAGCCAATAGCGGGAGGAATTTTTGTTGGTTTAAACTTGCCAGGAAGCAAGTCCAATTTTTCTTACTTTCCCTCCCTCTCAATAAAAACGTGTCCTGAGGATATCTCTTTTCAGCTGTGTGATTGGGCATGAAGAGGGAGCAGGAATTCCTTATTTTTTCAGCACGTGTGCAGGGAGTTGGAGCTTAAACAGACGTGGACGTATGTAGACTCCAACTGAAGTCCTTCAAGCGCTGGCAGATCAGTCTGCCTGCCATGTTTCACTGAGCCGACTTGGCAGCACCGTCGTAGTGGTTAACATCAGCAGAAGTCTTGGAAGAGGTTTTTCAGAAGCTTTTTGCCAAGTTTCTTGCATAGTTTCAGGAATCCGGAGAGGGCTGTGGCACACAGTGTTTAGGTATCGCTTCCCCCATACACCGAAATTCTTACGAAAGAAGTCGGCAGTTGTCGTTTCTGCCGTAGGCGTGGAAGTGTGGAAGACGCATGACTTTGGAGCGATGGCCAGAAATGGATGAGTTTTCTCTGTATTTTCATTAACAGGGTTGCCTTCTTCAGATTTAACTTCTAATGAGATCACTCTTCCCC